TCTAGTACTGAAAACGATTTTTTGTTTACATTTCTTTGTTACAGGTAAAACTTTCAGTGAAATGCCTAGCCTGAGGACACAAGTGGATCAATCAAATGAAGGAATGAATCCTTCTAGTTCCTGTGTCTTTGCAAGGTGCATCTCATCTATCTATCTATCTATCTATCTATCTATCTATCTATCTATCTATCTATCTATCTACAGATACAGATACAGATCTTTGCCCACAATAGCACAAAAAACAATTCCATTGGTACAGCTAAATTTGCCTTCTGAATCAAGCTAACATCACAATCAGGATATAAAACTCAGATGAGTAGGAACAAGCCATAGCTGGGTCACCATCTTAGTAGATATTGCTACAAAATCAATGCCAAGATTTGCAACAATTGTGATTGTACAGAAGCTTATATGGTTTTAAAAGTTGTGGCTTACTTAGCACTAGAAAATACAGTATTTTAGTATGAAAAGTATATTTTCATTTACAGTCTGTTGCTTTACTGAAATCTTTTCTGAAAGTCTTTACACAGCTTTTTTTCCCTGCCTTTTGAATCAGTCTTGATTCCTGGCAAATGCCTGGATATGTCCATAAAGATTTCTTGGCATCATTTTGGAAGTGATTTGCTGTTGCTGCTTTCTTAGGGTTGAGAGAATGACTGGGCCAAAGTCGCTTAGCTGGTTTTGCATCTAAGGCAGGACTAGAACTCACAGTCTCCTGGTTTCTAGCCTTTAACTACTACAGCAAATTAGCTCACCGCTACACCAGATTGGCTCTACGTGGCAGTTTAGTTGTTTAATTATTTGGTGCATTAAAATGAGTGTGGTGACTTTGGCATAGATACATTTTCTAGAGGCATAAGATATAATTAGCCCAACAAATTAAGGCACAGTGTATAAAAAATGATATAGCTATATCTAGTTAACATCTATGCCATTATTATTCCTCTCTGTACCTTTTTGCTGTTGCAAAACATTCTTGCTTTCTCCACCACTTTCATGCACTGTTTCATGCAGTACTTTTTGTTCTCCCTTTCTGAGAATGTCATCAACTTCATCCAACCACAGTTTTCTGCATTTTCTTCTTCCTCTTTACCCAACAAAATGGGCAGAAACATATTATACTCTGCTATTTAGTTTCATTCCAAATAATTTCAATACTTCTGTTTTTAATAGTATTCACTCTGCTGGAGGATCTTGTTTAGCCCTTTTCACCTATTTCCAAAAAAAAATGTTTTCACCAAAATTGTTCTGCAAGCATCTTTTTTCATAATCTCCCTTAGTATTAATCCATACATTTCTGTAACACTTGTAGCATAATTCTTTTCACTCTGTTCCAAGCAGCTTCCATATCCTCTTTTCTCATGTCCACTTTCCATTCATTATGTTGGGAGATTAATTTATCTTCTGATACTAGTACAAAGGCTCATACTTTCTTTTCTTGCAGTCATTTGGTTTTCTCTCTGATTTTGTTTACATCTTTCCTTTTCTTCTAGCCTCCATAAGATCCATCTTGACAATCCCGAACTGTGGTGTATCCCACATTCAGAACCTCTCATCCTTCTTGTATCCTTTATTAATTGTCTTGATCTTTCATCATATAAAAAGAAATCTATTAAGCTTTTTGATTCAATCTTTTTCCATTTGTATGTGTGTGTATACATACACACACACACACACTTAAACCATACATTTGAAACAGAAAATTTTCCAAGAAGATATTCAAAGATACACAAATTATTATTGTTTTCATCAATTCTTGGATCTCTGAAAGGTCTGGTCACTTTTTCTTTATCCTTCCATTTTGTTCCCATATATATTTTATTCATGTTACCAAGCAGTTTTTTTCCCTGTGGATCACATTCATTTAGAATGTTCCACAATTGTTCCCAAAACTCATCCCTGGTCATTTATCACAATTTGTTGAAGAGTAACAGCTATCACTGTCTATGAATTTCTACTTTCATATATACCAACAACAATCTAGATGACATGAATTCATACCTTGTAACATTTTAGCTTTTTCATTCATAGTTAAATTTACATCTTCATTTCCCTATATGTATTTAACTTCAATTTACTTCAAGATCAGCCTACATTCATATCATCCCATTCACTCTTCCCTTTTCTCTTATTTTCAACATATCAACAACTTATACATACACCATAGTTTTTTTCTTGCATGTGCTATAGCTGTCAACAGATGGGCCCCATCTACTGTGGATCATAGATTTGAACAACTGAGGCTTTCACCTAACACTTTTGGTAGAATGGGAAAGAAATAGACTAGGTAACCAATCTTAATTACAGCCATGCCGACCTTTTTAAGGACAGTATCAATCAGTTTGAACACATTTTGACCAAAATACCCCAAACACAATCAAAGCCTAGTTTTACCCCAAGGATTGTTTTTCTAGTCTAGATGCTCCAGAGACTACTGTGCAAGCCAGTATACTGTTGCCCACATCCCATGAACTAAGAAATACATATGGTGCAATGACATATCCCTGGGATACTCAGGATATGTAAATTTTCCTAAAGATAAATTCTGATAGGTGAATATATTTCTGAAGAGAGATGAGCAAATAATTACCTTCAAATTTATGATATAAAATGTCATTATTACGTAATAGTTACAGTGGGGCAAAAAGTATTTAGTCAGCCACCAATTATGCAAGTTCTCCCACTTAAAAAGATGAGAGAGAC